ATAAAGGATATAAGTTAACATTCCTCAAGGACCATGCCTGCATGGCCGAGCCATGCCATATGATCAACTATAATTCATTCAAATCTTTGTTCGCGCCTTCTCCATCGTTAGGTATTTCTCCGCGTTAAATATTGAATATCTATTTTCCGAGTAATCTCATATTGACCTTTGAGGATTGTGTGGTTATGGTTCAATGCCACTACAACCTAACCGATAGACAAAGTTTAGACCAACTCCTCAATAACATCGACCTGCAACACGGTTCTGCGACGGACATGCTGCAACGAATGAGAGAGGTTATCAACCAAAGAACTTTCGATGATGGCCTGCTCAAACAAATTTTCGTATCCAAACTTCCTCAACAGGTGCAAGCTGTGCTGCTCTCGTTTCACAACAACGCCATGAACGAGCTGGCTGCATCTGCCGACCACATTTTAGAAATCACGAAATCTTCTAATACCGAGGTTTTTTCAGTCAAAGAAAAGCCTCAAACGACCCAGAATGACATTACAGAGTTGTGTCATACACTTACACGTTATCTTAAGTTTCGTAACGATCGTAAACGGTCACACACCCTCGAAGAAGCACTTCACGTAAACGATCTGTCTCTAGACCACGAGAGACTGATAACCCCGACTGGTACTTGTATCATAACCAGTATGGAAAGTTGTAGAATTGTGGTCTACTATGATATTAGTACTTCTCTAATAATAGACCTAATCCTGACTTTGTAGATTTGTCATGATATAACTGCCTAATCTATAAGATCTTACGTGGAAGTCACACCATCGACTACACCAACTCACTGTATCGTATTAATTACCAATACATGATGTAGAACAAGGTTGGGCTAGAGAAAGAACAACATATTTAATACGAATAGAAGATATAAGGTAACATTCAGCAGAGACCACGCCTACATGGCCAAGCCATGCCATTCGATCAACTCCAACTCATTCAATTCCTTGTTCGCGCCTTTCTCCGCGTTAAATATTGAATATCTATTTTCTGAGTAGTCTCATGTTCACAGCTTTGTGGATTGTGTGGCTATTGCACAATGCCACTACACTACTCTCCCACCAGAATCAACGTGATGTTGGTTCGATACCGAATTGAATGGGATTGTCGTGCGCCGAAGGTTACCAAGACTAGTAAGAATCCCCCGGGTAATGATAAGCTGAAAGATAAGTCAAAAAGGCGGCAGTATCTGGTCGAGAAATACATGTAATAATTTTAAAATATCTGCCTTCATGCTTAACACGCTTGAAATGAAAATTTGTGTGAAGATTATTTGAGCTATAAAAAATGGGATTACAATAATAATAATAAAACGATGCGTGTTAATAGCCGTTGGTTAATAACTTAACGTGTAGGTAGTATGTATTTTCTGTTTAGAAATAATAAAAGCAATCAATATTGTAGAAATATTGGAATTAGTTTTGGTTTAAATTATAAAATCAAATAACGTTCATGCTGGTAAGTTGTCCATGAGTTGATTTTCAATTGCATTTGTATTAGTAGGCTAATTGAAGGAACAAAAGTATTACCGTGGAGAAGAATTCCAACTAGTGTTCCAGTTAGTTTGATACGGTTTATTTAGTTACGGGGAGCTTTTATCAACCTCATTTTTACTCGACCGTGATAGAATTTAGTAATACTACTAATACAGATGAATGGTTATCAAAACAAAATTTAAATACGTGAGTGATAATTATATGAATTTTGGACAGATAGCTAGGAAAAATTCGTTAAACATGAGTGTATTCGTAAGAGACATGCTCTAGACTCAATGTTCTAATCTGCGCAGACTATATATTTATATTTATACTTGCCGGCTGATTGGGGATACAAGTTAGTTGCAAGTATGCAGTTTATCATAAGGCGGAATACGATTGAATTGAGATATAGTGGTTGCAAGTTATTGAAATCAGTTAAGCCTATGTGTCATATTACTAAGTGATGTGGTGCTGCAAGATGTGTTTGGCTAAACAAGTTTTTACAAGATCACTAATAATGAGTGATGTTCATGTGATTATCAGGGAGTACATAAGTTGTAACCAAGGGGAGTACACTCCCAACTCACGTCTATTATAATGACTTGAACCTTAGTCAGTGTTGGGGTAAATTCGACATTGATGTGTTTCGGTTTGGAGATTTGCTCGACTGCTAATACTGATTATTTGTATGCATGATTGTGTCGCTAAACCATCAATAAGACTGACAAGGTTTTGAGATATTTACTGAATGAGCAACTGATAAAGAAACATACTGTAGTCATCTGTAGTGAATGGAGATAAAAGAAAAACAACATCAGTGATAATTATAAGTCAATATGCTGACCGATTTTGTTAATAGTTTCATTAATTTCATCAATCATATTACGTGAGTGTCAGGTCATGACAATGCTTTATGACGATATCCTGAATATATTACGTTTAACTAGTTATAGTGTTGATTGAGGATTAGCCAGTGGAAAAATAGGTATTGTTGCTTTAGGTGGTTCGAAATTATCAGAAATTTATAACGTTAAAGAATCCGAGACGCCTAATTATATTATAAATTTCAATTCAGAAATGTTCGTTTAGTGTTAATTCTAGTGGGCTACGGAGTTTTGATTTTAAACGTTTGTTTAACCAACAGCTACCTGGTGATTTAGTTATTTGACTAGTGCAGTTGATAGTACCTAAATTTGTAATCTTATTATCTCAACTATGTTCGCATTTTCGGCTGCTAATATGATAAACCAATCCATAAACCCAAATACGATTAGTGACAACGACTATGGTGGGTTTATTGATAAATGTTAAATGTGATTCAGATGATTCCTAAATTTAGAAGACATGAAGATATAGTGTAACGTATGTACGGGTCAGGTTAACATGCAGGTTGCTGACGTATATGACAATTTAAAAATAATGAACATGACCAGATAAATAATTTTAAAGTTAAGACTGCTTATGAAACTTCAGGCAGGAATATGATGCGTTATAAACATTCCATAAGAAGTTACTGCATTTAGCCTAGGGACACTTACAAATATATGGCAAAAGCAACTGGAAAACATTAACATGTTAAGTACAAAAAAAATCATCCAGTAAAATAGTTGAACTCTCCTGGATTATTTCTAAAAATTATATTATTCAGTGGACGACACATATAACGCCATTCCTTAGGAGTAGTAATGATCCAAAAGTATCCAGAATAAAACATGCAGTATGGCAACTAATTCCAGGGTGCTTGATGCTGTTGACGTTTTTGCTACTCGCTCGGATCAGAACAATCGAATGAATCCAGATAATTGTGTGGTCGCCTTTAAACGAGCCATCTAAAATCTTCGGTCCTCAGTCTTCAGTAATAAGGATGGGAGGTCTATCGACCTATATTAATCCTTGCAGTTTGTAATACTGTGGAGGTCCAACCTCGTTTTTAATACATTAACAGACGGTGCTGATATAACGTGTTCCGGTAGAGAATTCCAGTAATTCACTCCTAGGTGCGAGAAACGGTAAATCAGTTGATGAGGTTGTGAATCTTCATCGACTGAGATGGTTGGACCACGCACTACGTATGCCTGAACACCGATTACCACGACGTGCAATGCTAACCGGTGTAGGGGATGGTTGGAAGAAAGTTAGGGGCGGCCAAACCAAAACGTGGCATCAGTGCTTGAAGACACTAACCTCTAGTCTGAGCCATGTTTGTAGATGCAGACTACTTGGTTGGGGTTCGCGTGACTTTCGTAACCGAGGGTTGGAGACTCTTGATGACATGGCTCAGAATCGGTCACAATGGCGTCGGTGTATACACTCTCTGTCTTCCCTTAAACTAAGAGATTAAAATCACTTCATATCTTTCTTTCTACTAACTAATTCTTTTTTCCTGTACAGTATCCTTATATGCAATCTTTCTTTTATATATTACCACCTTTGACCTAACCACTCCTATGAATCCGGTGTTCATCTTGTTGTGCTAATGAGGTATGGCTACCTGGACCGATGCATATATGTGTCTGGTCCTACGTTGTAGCTGACTGACTGAGGCGTAAACGGTTTGATCTCGGTTTTTGAACTTTCTTCAAATGTCCTCTCAAATGATCGGTTCTAGACGGAAGCAAAAGATAAGACATGTTACTACCAAGGTCATCGTTCAGTATACGATAAGCCAATATTAGATCACTCCGTATTCTACGGTAAGATAACGGAAATAAGTTAAGGTGTCTCGGTCTGTCTTCATAAGATAGGCCAGATAGACCTTGTACCATCTTAGTACCTCGTCTTTGGACTCTTTCTAGCATATCTGTTTCATACTTGAAACAAGGACTCGCTGCTTAAATCCCGTATTCTAAATGTGGTCGCACATAAATCGGGTGTAGTAATCTAAACATTTCATCATCTAAATATTAGAAATACCTACAAATTGACCATAATACCCTATAGCCTTTTGCAGCAGCAGCCTTACAGTGACTAGTGGTTTCGAGATAATTCCTTAATATGACTCCCAAATCTTTATGGTTTCTTGCTTTGGGTAGCACGAATCCACGTAGTGTATAGTCATACGATTCATCAGAGTTATTTAACTGCATCCCTACACTCTTATTAGGATTTACTTCTTCTGACCACCTGTCTAACCATGCCAACAATGAGCTAAGATTGTCCTGTAATACTATTCTATCCGACATACTATGTATGGGTCTCCAAATCTTTATGTCATCAGTGAAGAGTAGAACGGATGATTTTGCTACAGTTGGCAATTCATTTGCATAAAGTAAAAGGAGAAGAGGACCTAGGATTGTACCTTTGGAAACCCCACTTTTTACAGGTACCCACGAGGAGAGAGCCCCATTAACCCTTACCCTTTGTCTCCTGTCATGGAGAAAGTTACTTATCCAATCGACGACTGTATAATGGATTCCAAAACGTTCCACTTTGAATTTAAGACCAGAGTGGGAAACCTTATCAAAGGCTTTACTCAGATCTATGAAAATCACATCCACAGGTGGCATTACTCTCAAAAAGAAAACTTCTCATACCCTTTAGTGCCGACCCATCACATAACGACGGCTCCCATGTATAACAACAGTCGCAACTCCTCCCAGTTACGCGTAGCAGACCCCTCTCGCGCTAACGTAAATAGCCATAACAGGGGCTACGAGTCTAACCATCAAGACTATTTTGCAAATAACCATACACTTCACAGTAGGCCTGTGCAAGATTTTTTTGGAATAAGACCCCTAGTGACACCTCTGTTGAAGCATATAGCCCAGGTTATTTCAAACCACATGCAAACCATAAATTTGTTTCCTCCGTACAGTTTCCATCACAGAGTACTCCCACCCTTTCCTCCTGGGTAAACTCCCCAATCAACTTCACCAGCTCATTTGATACATCTCCCAATAAGTTTAACTATCAAAATACCGAGCTAATGAAGAACATCCAATCCCTCACATCAAACTCATCTCACACTCGCGAGGGTTACGACGACTTTATCCGAAATACCCTCACCCATTTTAACTTAGTAGGCCACTTGCTTAATATATGTCTTATCAACGCTCGATCGATCTGCAACAAAAAGACGGATTTAGCCCTGTTTGTATCCATATATCAACCATCAGTTATTATGATATCTGAAGCATGGACTAACAGTAATATTTCCGACCGAAGCATATCTCTAGATAACTATTCCCTATATAGAAGCGATAGATTGAATGGACGAGGCGGAGGATGCCTTATTTACGCTCACTCTAGCCTGAACTCACTGCTATGTGATATGCCTGAACTAAACAAACTGAAGGATTCGGTGTGGATTGTATTAAAGCCGTCGAATTCCGTTACCTTACTGCTCGGCTGTGTTTATCGTCAACCTAACGCATCAATAGATGAAATAGCAGTATTATCGGAGGTATTCACGCTAGCATCATCCCTTTCATTCACAGGCAAGCTCATTTGTGGTGACTTCAATATGCCCGAAATTTCTTGGCTGCCAGTCAAAGCGCCGAGACGTTATGAATCATTTATTGAATGTCTAGAGCTTGGACAATGGACTCAGTATGTCGATAGCCCTACCAGACATCAAAACATCTTAGACTTAGTCTTTACCAGTGGCCTCATCCCCAATACTTTGTATATTGGAAAAAAGTTCCCAGGTAGTGATCATAACATTGTCATATGCAGCCTTAATGTAAAAACCACAACCAATAGAAGTAAAACCGTAACACTTCGTAGAAACTATCGCAAGGTTGATTGGAATAACTTCCACAATTACCTAAGAAGCACTGATTGGAGAACTTTCTTTACCTCAAACAATACCGACACATTAACCAATATATTTTATCACAACATCAAAAGTATCATCAACAATATCGCACCTTTAGAATACTGTAAACCTACGTTCTCCAAAGATCTCTATATACCGGTCAGTACAAGAAGACGTCTTCAAAGACATTGTACTCGATTCCACAACTTAAATGACTTTTCCTCTTTAGTAACGATGACAGAAATACTTGTCCGAACAGAGGCAATAACTAAACAAAAAGCAGTAGCACAGGAAAAACGTGCAGTTGAACTTAATAATAACTCCTCTGCACTCACCATACTACTCCAAAATAAACTTAAACGCTCTAAATCGAGAGGGAGTATATTCATTAAAGACAAACAAGTATACGAAGATCCCAAACTTATCACAGAATTATTCAGTGAACATTTTTGTTTCTCACTAACTAACGAAAAACCATTTAATGATTCAGAACCAATCCCAGTAACTCCCTGTGAAATTACTAATGTAGAATTCAGTGTACAAAATATCTCCAAAGCAATCAGTACATTGAAACACTCCTACACTGATGGACCAGATGGTATTCCATCTAGCATGCTAAAACGCGGAGGTGATGATATGTGTGTTTTGCTTCTCAAACTATTCGCGATATCACTCTCCTCAGCGTGTTACCCTACTGCCTGGAAAACTACACATATCATTCCCAAAATTAAAACAGGACCTGAAGCAAACGTTGAAAATTACCGGCCTATAAACATAACTTCAGTGGTATCCAGAGTGATGGAAAATGTAGTTAAGGCGGCTGTAGTCCAACATCTATTAACTAACAATCTCTTGTCGACCTCCCAGCATGGATTTCTTAGGTCCAGATCATGCGATACATGCCTAGTAGACTACCTGAATGATATAACTCTGAAACGAGACAGCGGACTCCTTGTATCAGTCCTATTCCTAGACTTTAAGAAAGCCTTTGATAAGGTCCCACACAAAAGGCTACTCGTCAAACTAAAGTCCTTCGGAATACACAACCCACTGTACTCATGGTTTGCTTCGTTCTTAACAGAACGTAAACAGATGGTAAAGTACAATGACTGTCTCTCGTCCCCTAGACCAATCACCAGTGGGGTCATCCAGGGAAGCGTATTAGGGCCACTTTTGTTTCTTATGTATATAAACGATATATGTAACACCATAGAATTTGGGAAACCGTACTTATATGCTGATGATCTCAAAATAGTATACAGCTATAAGCCTGAGATACTAAGCGAAAGTGTATCCCAGATCCAAAAGGACCTCAATAACTTAACTATATGGAGTGAAAAATGGCAATTACCATTTAACCTCAACAAGTGCGGGATCATGCACTTTGGAAAGCATCCCTATAAACCGCGACTTCACTTAAATGAATGTATAGTCCAAACACTCGAATCAGTACACGATTTAGGAATTAATTACACAGGAAGCCTAAACTTTGAAGAACATGCCTCCTCTATTATTTCTAAATCTAGACGGCTAATTGGTTTTATAATGAAAAACTTTTTCACAACAGAGAGTAAACTTACTCTCTACAAAATATGTGTACGACCCACCCTTGAATACTGCTCTTTTGTCTTCTCTAATATGAATATCGCAGACAAGATAAGAGTAGAAGATGTTCAAAGACGTTTCACACGTCAACTACTAGGATGTAACTCGAATCTCGATTACACAGACAGATGTAAGCATCTATCTTTAGAACCTTTATGGCACCGTAGGCTAAAACACAATTTAATATTTCTCTACAAAGCGATATATGGGCTCTCCTTTTTAACCTCCTGCCCGACTATCACCCACGACCCAGCCTATAGACTTAGAAACAACGCATATACACTACTTACCGTAAAACAGCAAAAGCAAATGCGTTGTAAGTTCTTTACAGTACGGTACAGTTTACTGTGGAACAGGCTGCCAATGCCTATCCGTAACTGTGATACGTTTACCAGATTCATAAAGCTAATAACCCTATTTCTAGACTCCAAAGAGCTTCAACATTACCTTGAACTCCCGCCCACCGATGAGGCACTTTATTACGGACCGGCTAGTATCTAGAAAGAACAGAATTATAACAAGTTCGACTGTTACTAATCTAAATATAACCAAATCACAGGATATATGGCTTATCCTTTCCTATTATTCATTGTTTATTAATCATGATTTCATGCTCCTAACCCTAGCTTTCAGTCCCCAAATCTCTACAGGTTAAATGTGCATTATTCTTCCTAAAAGTCATGCTTTTTTTTCTACTGCAAGTAGACAGATAGTTCAATCTTATGGTTGCTGATCTACTAAGGCCGATCATTCAAAGCTCAAAATTTGGCCACAAAGTCTTGTGAGTTTCTCAATGTTTTATTTTTCTCACCCTAAAGTCTTTTTCTTTTTTTTCTACAATTTTATACCCTCTCATATCTTTTGATTTACTATTAATCCTTACTTCTTTAAACCATTAGTTATTTTCATAGCAGTGTGATATACCATATGGACATCTAACCCATAAAGCAGAATTTTTAAATATCTGATTTGCTTGTAACATGGACCTAGTAGAGACAGTGTATTCCAACTATGTGCTTTGATTAAAGCATTAATCATACTTACCACAAACGTAAGAGAGCCTAACATCACAAAAGGAGGGAGGGTGGCGTTACTGACCAGCAAACATGAAGGTGGGGAGATAAATTCAATCCACCCATGTCTGTAGGGCAGAACATTTTGTTTAATTACGGCTCCTTATGGTTTAGTGGGATGTCACGGACTTAAGGTATTGAAGCTGATCTATCACGCAAAATACCTCTTTAAATCATGTTACGAACGTTGAATTGGTTTCACTTCCTACTCAGAAATCCTATTACAAGCAAACTAGACAATTCGCTAATATACGAAGCCTACTCAAGACCCTATAAAACCTGAAAAAAAAGAAATAAAAAAAAACGAAAGGGGCTCTAATAGCTTCGATAATAAAAGGAAGATAGCCAGTTGTATATCACAATACTGTTTCTAGCACTATATTTTATTTTATAATCACACATAATCTTATACTCTCAGCTCTTTTCCGAATCGCCTCCATTTGTCAGTTGTATGTCCACTCACACCTTGCTAAAGCTTATTTTCTTTAACCTATTAAAATGCTCTTTCTTAACAAATACCTTAATAAAAGAAAATTAGACTGAGTAATCATACCTTAAACATTCCTACATGAATATTGGCTACTCTGCCTCTCGTGTTTTCTTTTACTTGCTCCCTCTTTCAGCCCCCTTGAGATATGGAACGGGTTACTTCATCCTGCACCATCCTTAAAGCCTTGGATATCCCAAAGGGACATAAGGTTGCGATTTCTAGAAGCTCATACCTTCAATGGACCTATTCTTGACCATCAGTCGCACATTCGCAACGCAACTCTCGTGAAGCGCGCCAACTATAATACTGATTAAAACTATCTACATTCATGCCTTATAAATTTTCAACCCAGCTATGTAATTTAATACAGTGTATATTGTATCATTTGTATCAATTTGATCTTGCCTGTAAACTGGCATGCCTCGTGTAACAAACTGTTATTTGAGAATAAATTATTATTATTATTATTATTATTATTATTCCGATCCCTTGCAGCAGCCCAATCTTCTCGTGCAATGACAAGATTTGTCAAGCAAGATAGGCCTTTCCGAAAACCATGTTGTGCCCTGGAGAAAAGATTTTTCCCTTCAACATAGTTTATAACAGTTATCCGGATGATTTTCTCCATCAGTTTTACAACTGTACTAGTTAAGCTAACGAGTCTACGGTTACTAACTAAATCCCTACTCCCAGCCTTATACACCGGACTTATTATAGCATCTTTCCAGTCTCTAGGAAGTCTGGACTGTCTCAGAGACATGTCGAATAGTATCGCTAGTGGTTCAGCAATTTCATCTGATACGGCTTTCACAATCCTAGGATGAATATCATCAGGACCACTGGACTTATCAGGTTTGAGATGCTGAAGTAGCCTTAAAACAGTATCTTTCTCAATGACTACAGGATCCATCAGCGAGCCGTCACGGTCGCGATGAATCATTGGTCGTTCCTCATTACCGATAGAAAACACTTTACTAAAGTATTCCGATAAAGCTTCACCTTTTTCGGCATCATTCTCTGCTAAGATTAACGGATTATCTCGTATCAAAAGTGGTGAGTTCTATCGCTTCTCTTAGTTGGCCTTTTTATATACGAGAACAACCGTTTCGGACAATGTCTAGAATCCCTAACCAATTGTTTTTCGTATGATAGTCTAGTCTTGCTTATTAACGCTTTACAGGCATTCCTAATCTTACAATAACTGGATCTCTATTGTTCTAAGCCAGTAGAGATGAACATATTCTAGTGATTCGTCCTTTTTCTAAGGAGTTTCCTGATGTTTTAGTTATCCATGGTGGACTATTATTCGGTCTTCGCGGTACCAGGTATGGTATGAACGGGGACGTAACTAGTCTAAATTTACCTTTAAATACAGACCATGCTTCTTCAACTGATATGCTAGTATCTAATAACCAATCTCTTTTAGCAGAGCATTCCTGAATGGCTGATATATTAGCTTTCCATACATTTGGGCGAGGTGTAACCTGATCGTATAACATTTCCCTAGTTCTAAACGTAAATGACAAAGCAGTGTAATCGCTGTTCACTAACGGTGGGAGAATATTAAAGTCAACAATAAACTCAGTCTCACGAGTGATTACCAAGTCCAGCAGAAAAGAACCCTGGTTAACACCAAAAAGTATGGGTTGGGATACATGCTGCCCAAGTGCATGCTCCATTATTGTTATCAGGAACCTACTATCAAAGGAGTTTATAGATCCTTCTGTGGTCATATCAGTCCAACTAATATCAGGTGCGTTAAAGTCTCCTATTATCAAGCATCTGGTATTTTCACTACAAAGATGAATGTGCTCTAAAATAAAGTCATCAGCTAAGCAGATTGGGCTGTGATAGATGACACCTAGCATAAATGTACTACATCCTATAGCCAACTTACAGCTAATGACTTCACAAGTACCGCTATCATGGGATTTGCTAGTAGAGGAGCGGATATTTATGCTATTGGCTATATATATAACAGGACGCCGCCTTCTTTTCTACATCTATGTCTATCACTCCTGGTGTAATGGTATCCGGATAATTCTGGAGTAATGTCTAAGTCATGGACTAACCAAGTTTCTGTCACTGCTACTATGAGTGGCTTTAACCTGTCCACTAGTGCTTCTAGCTCACAGAACTTACTTCGAAGACTACGAGCGTTGGCATATAAAACTCCTAAGTAGAACAGCCTATCCACACAGGCCTTGGTAGCATTCGCTTCCAAGACCTGACTATCCGAAAACCCACTAGTCGGAGATTTTCCTCGCCGTTTTGCCGACGGGTTTCAAGTTCAGCTAGTGCTTTCTTCCTTTTTATATTATCTTCGAGAGACATGTTAGGTCTAACTCGGATGTTGAAATTGTCGTGACAACGAGCGCTACTTAACAAGAGATCCCGTTGCTTCTCTGATCCTAGGATTATCTTAAGGAGTCTGCATGGACGGGGTTCAACATTATCCTCGGTCCTCTTGCTAATTTTTTGACCTGAACTCTTTTGGAGTTATCAGTAACAACGTAGAAATTCGTACGAACGTACATCAGTTCGAGTTGCCACACCACATTAGCACAGAGATGCAGACGTCGATTCAAATCACATAGTGATAGAGGTAGTGAAAGTATAAGCAGTAATCAGAAACATTAGGGTTTGAAGATGTTGTTTAAAGAGTATAATACAGTGAAATAAATTTGGAAAGAGGAAAAAAAGGACATGAAGAATTCAGATTAGAATTTGGGAGAACACAGAGAGTGGATGCACCTGTGCCATTGCAAACGATTTTGAGCCATGTCATTCAGGGTCTCTAACCATCGGTTGCTATCATCTCGTGGTCCCCAACCAGGTAGTCTACACCTACCAACATGACTCAGTCCACTTGTCAGTGACTTCATGGACTTGTGCCATGTTTTGGTTTGGCCGCCCCTAGCTTTCTTCCAACCTACTATACCACTGAACATAGCACGTCGAGGCAGTCGGTGGTTTCACTACTTCATCAATTGATTTTCCATCCTTACCTAGTACCCGTTTCCTAACAACTGTGTTACTTACTCGATGGTCCCATGATATACGAACAATGTTTCGAAGACACCTATGATGGAATACTAGTAACCTACGGATATCCTCTACTCTTACCGGCCACGTTTCACTGCCATAAAGTAGGACGGAACGAACTGCTGCGCAGTAAACCCGTCCTTTGTTTGATAGACGGATATCTCGCCTACGCCATAAATGATGCAAGTTGGCAAAAGCTAGTCGAGCCTTCTGTATCCGTTCTGAGATTTCGTCACACACCAGACCACAAGGGCTGATGAGACTTCCAAGATAAGTGAAGCGATGGACACGCTCAATTACTTCACTCCCTATCACTAGTTCGGGTGTCGATGTAACCCAATCCTGAAGCAACATTTTGCATTTCGAGGGGGAGAATCTCATCCCGAACATGCTTGCATCGTTGCTTAGAGTGGTCAGAAGACTGCATTTTGTCAACGTCTTCACCAAATAAGACTACGTCATCAGCATATTATAAGTCAACAAGTGAACCTCCCGGTACAAGTTCAACCCCTGGAAATATAGACGAGGAAAGTGTTATCTCTAAAAGTACGTCAATGACAAAGTTAAACAAGAATGGAGAGAGTGGACAGCCCTGACGAACACCACTTGAGGTAATCAATTCTGATGACAGTTCGCCATAAGCTCTCACTCTACCAGTTGTGTTCGAGTAGAGAGCCTTTATAAGGTTAATGTACTTCTTTGGTACTCCTTTCAGTGACAAACACTGCCATAGAACCTCACGATCAACAGAGTCGAATGCCGCCTTAAAATCGAGAAATACTACCATTGTGGGGAGTCTGAATGTGTGTCTGTGTTCTAGAACCTTCTATAACATTTTGCATTTCGAGGGGGAGAATCTCATCCCGAACATGCTTGCATCGTTGCTTAGAGTGGTCAGAAGACTGCATTTTGTCAACGTCTTCACCAAATAAGACTACGTCATCAGCATATTATAAGTCAACAAGTGAACCTCCCGGTACAAGTTCAACCCCTGGAAATATAGACGAGGAAAGTGTTATCTCTAAAAGTACGTCAATGACAAAGTTAAACAAGAATGGAGAGAGTGGACAGCCCTGACGAACACCACTTGAGGTAATCAATTCTGATGACAGTTCGCCATAAGCTCTCACTCTACCAGTTGTGTTCGAGTAGAGAGCCTTTATAAGGTTAATGTACTTCTTTGGTACTCCTTTCAGTGACAAACACTGCCATAGAACCTCACGATCAACAGAGTCGAATGCCGCCTTAAAATCGAGAAATACTACCATTGTGGGGAGTCTGAATGTGTGTCTGTGTTCTAGAACCTTCTATAACATTTTGCATTTCGAGGGGGAGAATCTCATCCCGAACATGCTTGCATCGTTGCTTAGAGTGGTCAGAAGACTGCATTTTGTCAACGTCTTCACCAAATAAGACTACGTCATCAGCATATTATAAGTCAACAAGTGAACCTCCCGGTACAAGTTCAACCCCTGGAAATATAGACGAGGAAAGTGTTATCTCTAAAAGTACGTCGACCACAAAGGTATAATACGAATGTATTCTCCTAGCTTTTCTAAGTCATGCGTGAGTCTAATTTTCGGATCAGGGTCGTTTGACTCCCGCAATTTGCTCACTATAATATTCGATGTTATTAGATTTTTCTTCTCAGTCACTGCAGGATGGGTTTCACTCTTACCATCATATCTTGGTAGTGTAATTTGTGGCTCATAATTTGAGTCCACCAGTGAGTTACTAACTACCTGTGTACTGTTTACAGCTTTTTTCTTTTCGTTTCGTTTCTTACGTACCGTAGTCCATTTTTTATCCCTCATAACACTGTGACTATTTTGAACGGTGACTGTTTTATGCAGATCTTCGGTTCCCGCTAAAGGTGCATTATTAACATTGTCAGTACCAGGTGGTACTACTCCCCCTGGTAATGTCGAGGGAGATTTCACTTTTACGTCGATTGCTTGAGACGTCGCGTAACAGCAGGTACTACCCTGACACATTTGTCACTGTCAGTGCCCGTGTTGTCAGCGCATATGCCATCGTTCTTCTTACAGGCCAAAGCCAATGGGCTCATAGCCTCCTGTATTATTAATGCCTTGTTGGCACAGCAAAACATGCAAAGCCAATGTGAGCTAGGCTTCGAACATCTTTTGTATGCGGTGGGACTTAAACGGGTGCGCATTTTGTGGAACCACTTATTGCATTCGTCACACTGCATTCCCTCCTCCACAGGGAACAAACGGTTTGGTTGTCCACATTTGTGAGTACTACCAACCATTTTAGTCAGATCAAGGTGTAACACACAATATGATCACAGTATGAACACAAATGTCAGTCAACGAATAAAAGGTTACCACAAGACAAATCCTAAATTTGTAGATTTGTCATGATATAACTGCCTAATCTATAAGATCTTACGTGGAAGTCACACCAC